AAATTGTTTATAATTACAGTCATTACTGTGATGTTTTGGTGGCGATTGCTCTCTCTGACATGCACGAGTGTGAGTCCAAAAAGAATGTGAAGAGATTCAAAGGCGAAATTACATCTCAAAATGTTAAAGATCTGAGCTTTCAAGACCAACCCAGATCACCTTTTCGCTTTTTTATGTAGGCTATGTTCTTCCTAGTAGTAACAATTGTATGCGCCACCATATGCCAGGCAGGTTAAGTATACAACTTTACTCAACAAAGCATATACCCCAACAATTTGAGTTGAAGTAAATAAACCATTTTCCTCCAATCAGTTGTAATTTTTCCATCAACTCCACTTCTTCCTTTTAGTCATCATATTTAGTTATTTTTAAGTGATTATGCATATTCTCGATGATCCAATGTATGAAGGGTACTAATCAGATGGAGCAGTCTCTCTCTCATGAATTGCAGTGCAACATCTATATATCTATTATTTTTTAAAATAAAAAATTCATCTACCTGCCCATGAGTGCGAGAAAACATGGGAACATGAGCATTAGCTTTAGCCATGTCACAAACTGCCTTAATTACCTCATCCATGACTGGAAATATGACAGTGTTCAAAGCTTCTTTCAGCATCAATGCATGGGCAAGATTGTTAATGTCCTCGGATGTGCAGACAAAATGAAAAAATTCAAGCACCTACAATGAAGAGAAGGTTAGCTACTCAAAATATTTCAAATAGCAACAGTAATAATGAAAGACACTGCAACTTAAAGACTGGCTACAGTAACAATTCAATTATGTCAAATACACTAAGGCAGTCATTATACTATCTTAAGCAACTGAAAGAGAACAGGTTAACTGTTAAAAAATTTTGCATTAGCAAAATTAACATCATGATAGGCATCACAACACAACACTAGCAGTTGAATTATGTCAAATAAATGTACTAAAGCTGGTCATTTTAGTATCGAAGAAACTGGAGGACAAGTTCAAACCTTCGCAATCTCTGGATGTGATTGGCATTTCTGTTTCAAGAAGTATTCCACTGCTTTCACATCATGGTTTGTCACTTTCTCTATATTTTTAACTTCCAAGGCATCGCTTATGGTAAATCCATCAATCAATCCTTGCAAGTAAGACAGTGCTTCCCCACTGAAGCTTGGAACCTCAGTAACTTCAGGAATTTGTGAAAGCTTTAAGAACCATCTGATCTGAATGAGGGCTTTAATTGTTAAGAAACAAACATTTCAATTTACCTTTGTATTGTTTTCCTCTCTTTTCTTTTGTTTTTCTCTTTTAACTTCTAATTTTATTCATAAACATAAAGCATCAAAAGAAGGTAGAACTACTTACCATTAATTTTGATGTACTTTTATACCATTTTCTGTTTGTGTAATTACTGTGCAGAGGGAGAAAAAAAAAATTCACAAGTAAAACTTGACAACCAAAAAGAAAATCAAGTGATTGCTTTGATCATAACAAAATAACACATATTTTATACATCGTATAATTCATAAATAGACAAATTAAATTGCATGTATATATGCAGATCTCAAAAGCAAAGAAAGAAAAAATCAAATAGAGACAAACTGAAATGAATCATCGATCATCACCTAATAGTGATTTGAGCAGAACAATAAGCAAAACTAGAAACGAAGAAGATACTGATTTAAGCAAAAAGTGGAAACAAAGCACAGAAGAAGAGATTCACGGAGCTGAAGAAACATCTAAGAAGACGAAGAGTTCCAAACAGAGCACAGAAGAAATATCTAACCTCTGATCGAATAAGATGAAGATCACGGATCTGAAGAAGAGTTCCAAATCACGGTGCTCAAAATCGAACTTCGAAAGCGCAATCGCTCTGTGCTCAACAAGACGAATCACCGAGCTAAAGAAGAATCACCGAATCGAGAGAGAACAGCTTCATATTGATTCGATCCCCTGAGAGAAAGACAGTGAGGGAGAGATTCGAACTTCATATGTAGACGGCGGTGCTCAAAATAGGTTTTCAAAATAAAGGTTTGGAGAGACGGGATAGGGTTTGAGGGGAAGAGGATTTGGAGGCGCTTTTCAAACGTCTCCTAGTCACCAAACGGTACCGTTTTACTTAATAACAGTTGCGACGTTTAAAAAACGCCGTTAATTTTGAAAAAAAAGTGACGTTTAACAAACGCCGTTAATTGAACGCCGTTAAATCTCCAAATTCTTGTAGTGGAAGAGTGTCTACAGTGCTGGGCCTTTGCCTTTTTCTTCCAAGGACTTTGTCATCAAGCTCGTCGACCAAGATAGAGGAGCAATGTTATCTCTATTTTGTGGTTTCATTGCAATTTGTTATAGTTGAGTTGTATATATATGTCTTTATTGAAGTGTGATTGGTGAAGAGCATTGAAAATAGTAACCTTATTATCAATTGCTTTTCAACTCAAATGGAAAACTAGCTTTAATCTTTTTCTTATTGATTTTGAGTAAGATGGTGGCTCTTATGTCATTATCTAGATGCGAATTTGTGCCAACAAGAAAATATGGTATGCTTTAGTTGAAGTTAATGCTATGCTTGCTTTAATTGCAGGAAGGATCGTGAATTTAAGGTCTTAATCAAATTTGCTGCTAAACTTGACATACATCATCTTCAAGAATTCATGCGTGGTAGACAACTTGATACCCCACAAGAAACTATACAAGTTCTTGATGTGGTTTTAAGGGCAACACTATCGATGAAGTGATTTCTCTCACTGACCAATAACTATTATTAAGTTTTTTTTTTTTTGGCTTGAACTCTTGTTTTGTTTCTTTTTATCTTGGTCATGTGGTATATCAATTTCTGGGAACTGGGGTGATTGATTTTGAAGCTTTTGATTGCAGTAATGCAGTTGTGGGAAGGTCATTCTTCTCCCCAAGCTTTGGTGTAGGTGACCTTGGAAATGGATTTCAATATTGGAAAGGATTCTATCAAAGTCTTCGTCCTATTCAGATGGGCCTCTCCCTTAATATTGGTAGAAATATTTTTCAATTCTCCACTCCCTCTTTCCATATTTTATGAAATATTTAGCACTGGCTGAGGCTATTATGGGCCTCCAAAAATTATGATGTTGTTGATCATTCTTAATCGGACATTTCAATGTTGTTTTGTAGATATGTTAGCCAGAGCATTCTACGAACCCATTCTTGTTACTGACTTTGTTGCAAAGTATTTCAATGTTAAGGATCTGATAAGGCCTCTATCCGATCAAGAATGTCTTAAGGTATTTTTTGGTAGCTATACCTTACGACATACAGTAGGATTTTATATTAATTTGTTGAAAAGTGAATACTAAATATTTTAGGCTGAGATGGAACAAAACTGAGGGTTACGATATAGACTGAAGGTGAAGAAATAGGATTTCCATGACTAGATGCTATTCTTATAAGCATTTTACTATTTTTTCTTTTGGGTGGTAGTGGTTGTATTTCTGGTCAATATTAATATTTCAGGTTTAATGTTTTCTCTTTCCAAATTACTGGAACTGATTTTGTTTGTTATTATCAGGTCAAGAGGGCTCTCAAAGGCATTAAGGTTGAACTTGCTCACAAGAAGCATGTTCAGTGCCGTAGAATTTCAGGCTTGTTAGTTCAACCAACCAATCAGTTAACGTAAGTTAATAATCAGTATTATTTCTGTATGTGTTACACTGACATGTTTACTACATGATGAAGTGCTCTTTGTTTCCTCTAGTACATTTATTTAACACAATTGTGTCGTCATGTGAGGATATAACAAAAACAAAGAAGCGCACAACTTGTTATGCTGATGTTCTCTATCAGATTTAACAAAAACAAAGAAGCACACAATGAGTGGGAGTTAGATCAAATGGCCTCTAAATTTGTTTATGCTATGAGAGGATTATTTATTTAATTTACATGATTCTCATGTGTCTGTATTGTCTTGGGGTATGCCCTTTTCTTTGTATGTATTTAGTACTTCTTGGTATGTGATAAAATCTTCTTGTTTGTACTTCTTCAAGTTTTAAGTACTGTTTATAAGTATTGGGTACAAATTCTTCAATTTGTGTTTATTTTGGTGAATCTGATTGCAGTTTATGTTCTGATGCAGGCATGTAGACCAGTGAAGACTACAAGTTTAATGCTAAGACATGATTTTTGGATATATGTTAGTCTGTGGTTAATGTTAAACTATGATTTTTAGATTTTGGATATGCTAATTTTGTGGATAATGGTGATTGGATATTAATTGAATGAGAAAGTGAATTAATGCTTCATTACAGCTATTTGAATGTGAGTTATTATTTTATGTTAGTGCTATTACAGGTATTTTTTTAATTCAATCAAATAAAATTAGCACAATTTCAAAAAAAAAAAAAAAAGAGAGGGATATGACAGCGTTTTTACAAACGCCTCTTAAACCCTGCTTACTAACGCTCATAACTTAAAAAAAGATATGACGGCGTTTTTCCAAAACGTCGTTAAATATTGTCAGTGACGTCAACATGTGTTTAGGAGGACATTTGGTGGCGTTTTTAAAAACGCCGCCTATACTAATATCACGACGTTTTCAAAACGCCACAAAGTTATAGCGACGGCTGCGTCCTCGGCATTTGATTCTAAGCGTCGCAAAAGGAATTGACGGCGTTTTTGACACTTATAGCAGCATTTTTTAAACGCCACTAAAAATCTATTTTCCAGCAGTGTACTTTCAAAAGATACCTAGCTTGATCTAATTTTTAATTAAAATAAGAATCAAATCATGTAATTATAAGTGATAAGAAAAGGACATTTGCTACGAAGGATTATTTATGTCCATTCTCTCATATCCCTATGTTCTGAATAATATTTTTATCACATATGAGTCAATCTAATTTTGAAACTTTTTTGGAATAAAAAATCTCAACCCTCTAATCAAATAAGATGTTTAAATTAGTCAACGTTTACAACTCCCGTATGAAAAGTCATGCGCCACTTATTAAAAATTGTATTCCCCGCTCTCCATTGATGTCATTCCAATGCTTAGGCCTAATAATTATCTAAAAATAAGAAAATTATATGAATGTAGAAATTAATTGATAAGAAGAAAAAAAAAAAAATCTCAGCGTCTTAATGGCTATATATAGAAATAGAGGGTTGCATACAAGTCTTAACAAGTAAGAAGATGCATATAAGAGCATATTCAATCCTTTCATTAAATGTTTATCAAATTAAGGGAGAAGTATTTCTCTATCAAATTGATAATTGAACAAATTCTTCATCAAGTTTTAAATTTGATGAAAATTTAAATAGATAAAACGTTTGGGATGATTTTTTTTATTTTTTTTATCAAATTTGAAATAGTTTAATCATACACAACGGAAACCAACAGAGGCAATAATAAAGAGATGTGATACAGTGACGGTAGATGGTAGTGTTAGAGAAAGGAGTAGACTTAGATTGACGTGGACTAGTGTAATAAATAGATATATGAATCTCCATAATTTAACTAACAAAATGACTTTGGATATAGTCGTGCGGAGAAAAAGGATTCATGCAACCGATCCCATTTGATGGGACTTAAAACTTGGTTTGGTTTGGTTTAAATTTGATAAAAAGAAAAATTTGGAATGAGATGAGAATTTCTAAAAAGATTTTGTGAAAGGATTTGAATAGTTTATATCAAATCAATTTTTTTACTTAAATTTAAAGTCAAGTAATAAAGGGTAGAAAATGGATTTTAAGTACCTTATGAGAGAAGTCCATCCATGATATCCAACCCTGATGAGGTCATCAACAGTGGCATCTCTGAGGGATTCCCTTCTGGAGGATATCAAAAAGCACCAAGGATCCTCTAGAGTGAAATTTTCCTAAAGTTTCCTAGAGTGCTATATTGTGTGGTTGAGATTTACTGGCAAGTCACATCAGAAAAATTGATGTAACTTGCCAGTAAATCTCAACCATACACTGTAGCACTTTAGAAAACTTTAGGAAAAAATCACTCTAGAGGATCCTTGCTCATCAAAAAGATCTTAATCCCCTTCCCTCTTTATCTCCTCGAACAGTCTCTCTGTGCGCTCAAGAGCCGGTGCCTTACTCTCTCTCATCCATTTTTCCAAACAGCTCACATTCAGCTTCTCCCTCCTAATGAAAATGTAAATAGTAATTCTTAATCACAAATCAAAAATTTTAATTACCAAAGAAAAAAAGTGATGATATCATGCTAGGATGATGAATTACTGTTCCGATCAGACATTTGGCTTGATGATTGTATAAATAGTCTTTGTGGTGTAAGGTTTTGTGGTGTAAGGTTTTGGGTTTAGCTCATGTGAAGGGGAGTTTGATATCCTATTTGTAATTATTTTTCTATTAAATGATTAAAAGAAAATTTACTACTCCACCTTAACGAGCTTCCCCACAATGATCTTAGACAATTTAATTAATTTTAATTTAAGATGGTTTGTTTGGAAAGTGATTTTTTAAATAATTTTTTAGTTAAAATATAGGTGAAGGTATAAAAAAATTTGTACGAATGACTTTTTTTTATTTTTTATGTAAAAAACAGCGAGAATAAGAAAACATATTTGATTTTTTTTAAATATAAATTTCTTGATTTTTAACTAAAATTTATTAGCTTCCCAAACAGCCCCTTCATAGGCCATGATTGCCGAAGCAAATCAAATATTTTGATGCTGCCTATTTAGTAACAACGGTTTGCTCGGTTTTATTTTTTCAAAAATACTTTTTAAAAAATTTTACTTTCTTATTTTTTATGTTTTTTATTTTCACTAATTTTTTTTAATATTTTAAGTAATTTTTTTTATTTTTTAGATACATCTAACATAAATACACCTAAAAAGTAAAAAAATTGTAAAAAAAATCTTTTAAAAATTCACTAAATATCAAAAATACAAAAAAAAATACAAGAATTCAGTATATTTTTTATATTTTTAAATATTTATTAATTTTTTAAAATATTTTTTCACAAATTAATTTTCAAAAAACTTAATCCAAAAAACTCAAACCAAACACATATTATTTTTTCAACAATAATATTAGATTTTGTACTATATTTTATTTATCATATTATATGGTACATTCACACTTGTTGAATATTAATGATGTTCATCTCTTTTCTTTATTTATTTATTTCTTATTTTCTTTACACTTTTTTTAAAAAGAAATCACTTTAATCATGTTTAGAGAGTTATTTATTATTAAAGTAAAAAGAGAAAGAAAAAGTAAACATAGCTTGTGTGTTCCCTGTCACTATTATTTTAGAGTCACATAATTGCATAGAGTGTGCACTTGAGAGATGCTTTTCACTTATGGGAGAGAAAATTCATCCTCAAGAATTTATAAGTACATATATGATATGATATATAGTGATTGAAAGCATATTTTGATGACTCCTAGAGATGGGATTGGTTCGTTTTGGTCTTCCAAAGCCAACTGGGAAAGAGGCTCTTAGTTTAATTTCACTGTAAAAAAATGGAAATTTAGATTCACCCATATAATTTTAACAAGTTCAAAAAGATTTGGTGAATCATTTTACCATATGTTGGACCAAACAATGTTTTGTGCACATACCCACACATAGTCTTTGTAATGAACTCAAATAATCGGAGCATGTTCTAAGAAAAACAAAAATACTTAAAAAAAAGAAAGAAAGAAAATCACCATAAAAAAACACAAGAAGGAGAAAAGTAATGAGAATTATTCTATTTTAAATTTACTTGTGAATAGGATTAGGCTGGATAACTTAACTTGGGATAAGTTAACTCAAGCAGAATAATTTAGTCATTTTATGTCAAAAGACTAAGTTGTCCCATTTCCTCTCAGAATTAATTATTTTAGTATATGCGAGATAAAATAACTTCTCAAATAAGTTATTACGAATCACAAAAATTGAACTAGGTATGGGATAATTTTATTCCCGAAAAAATTAATTCTAATCTCCTTTTCAGAAAAATCAAACATGGACATCATTCTATTTCCATTATGGCTTGTCCAAATGAAACATCAATATACGGTGAAGAGTCATAGGTTTTGTATTTTGTATTTTAAAATATTTACAATCATTAAATTATGTCACGAGATTTTTATATTAATAGAAATTCTCATCCCGTATAATCTAACAATGACAAAGGTTTTGAATCATAGAAAAAACACCAAAATTTCAGAGTAGATGGGAGACTTACCCAAAGTGGTGTTTCTTGAAGTAAGGTAGAGTCGATAAGAGGGTGTCATCAATGTGAAAGATCCATGCATCTTTGCCATCACCTTTGAAAGAGCAGCAACTACTGAGATAGAGTGAAGACTCTTCGATGGCCCTCTCGGAGTCGGCCTTGTACTGAGAAGAGGTCATGTATTTGCCTATGAAGTCAATATATTCTTCAGAAACTACTTCAAATCCCCTTATGTTGTTCATCTCCACATTCATCCTCCAACTCTCGCAGTAATTCCCTCCGTTTGGGAAGTGGGTTGGCTTTTTGATTTTTTTGACTATTTTAGCCTGGGCTAAAAAGTTTGGTTTGGGAAGGACTTTTTGACTTTTTGGCTTTTTTGATTTTTTGGATTTTTTGACTTTTTTTGTGAGAGAATAATGTAATGATTATGAGTTGGATGTGATGTTTTATATTTTGTGGCTAAAATAGTCTATTTTGTCTTTTGTGACTAAAATAGCCAAAAAAATCCCGTTTGACTCTTGCCAAACGAAACCTAAAGGTGTCTTATATCATTTTTTTTTTTTTTGGTTACAGGGAAATCCTCTCACTCTCCCGCAGGTCCAAGGCAGCGCCCCGAGGAGATCACCAGGGTGTCCTGTTGTTCGTTCCGAGCCAGAGACTATAACCTGGAAGCTTGTCCCGACCTCACAAGGCAAGCTTCGGTAAGTCAGGACTCGCACAGTGGGGGAGAATTAAACCCACACCAAGTAGCTGATAAGGCATCCTTGAGGTCAACCTCCTAACCAACTGTGCTACGCCCTGGAGATTGGCCCAGAGGGGATTCGAACTCAGGACCTAGGGGCTTAAACCCCAGGCCCTTGCCAAGTTGCCACCCACCCCTGGGTTCCCATTTTCATTTCACCCCTATAGAGAGAGGAGGGAGGGGGTGGAGCAATTTTTATAGTATTTTTTTGGTGGAGGATGGGATGGGATGGGATGGCATGGCATGGGATTGAGATCTGATTTTAGGTCACATGGTGGGGTAGGTTGTATTATCAATGACCTCTTCTGAAATTCACATGGTTTAGGTGTAACTAGTTAGATGGGAACTTAATTTAGGAAAAATTACCCAAAGGTCCTATTTGAAATATGTGGACACTATTTAATTTAACAACTTTTTGAGTAAACTCAAAAGTCCTACTTTCCTCTCTCTCTCCATGCTTTTTGCCTCACTCTTTACGTTTTCCTCTCTCTCTCTTTTTTTTGTATTTTTCTCTCATCTTCTTTGTCATGGACGACGACCGGTGATCACGTTTTTCTCCATTGATCGGGGTTCACCGGTAACCACCAACCATCAAAATCAACTCGTGACTTCACCCTCACCGACGGCGAAGAAGATATATTTTCGACGAAGAAGATGAGTAGATCTACTTAGATCTGATGTAGATCTACATCAGATTTGAGTAGATCTACATCAGATATGGCTAGATCTAAACAAAAAATAATTGTCGGAGTACAATCCTCTCTCTATATCCGCCTCTCTCCTTCGATCTCTCATTTTTTTCTACATTTTCTCTGTTATACACTTCTCTTTTTCTGTTCTAATGGAGAAAATTTTCAAGTTCTGAACAAGTATAGTTTTCGAGTTTTAGTTACAGGCGGTGAAAACTGTAAAATTTTACAGTTTCAAATTTTTTTGGTACTGGAATGAATCATGGTATAAAATTGTAAAATTTTGCAGTTTCATAACATTCTTTAGAACTGTAAAATTTTACAGTTTCATAACATATTTTTCAGTTTGATTAATAAGGATAAATGCTTAATAGATTTTTGCTTTGAAACTGTAACATTTTACAGTTTCAAAACTTACTTTTCAGTTTGATCAATATTGGAGATTATTTGCTTAAATCTTACAAAAATTGAAAAATAGCATATGTTTTTTCCATTGTTGTTGTTTTTTTGTCGTTTCATTTTTTTTTTCTTTTAGTTTATCAATATTTAACACATTTTGCTATTCTTTTTGCTCTAATTTCTTCATTTATTCTTTTTTTTTCTACAATATTCTAAACATTCTGGTGAGTCTCCAGTGATGTTCTTAACATCCAGTGAATGTTTTGAACATTCCGACGACTTCCATTAACGTTCTTAACACTCTGGTGAACTTCCGGCGATACTCCGGCGACTTTTCGACAATACTCCAGCGACTTTCCGGTGATGTTGAACATTCCGACGAGTTTTTGGTAACCGTTTGACGGAAGTCCGACGGTACTAAGATATAACAGTGTCTGTAAATTTTTAAAAATAAAATAAAATTTTTTGGTAACAATTAAAAATATGTAGGACAAATTGGTACAAGTGTTTTATTTGAGGATTAGATGAGTCTTGAACTTTGTATATGGGACTTATTGATAAGTTTCCCCTTAATTTACTAGTATAAATCATAGATTTAATTGAACATGAACAAAGAGCCCATTTTACCATGGGCCCCACAATGATTTCTAATAATACTATAATAATCAAATTGATTCCTTACTATTTTGTTTATTATTTTATGTGTTAAAATTAATTTGTTTGAATGAGTTGATCCACTCATATTAGTTACCAATCAATAGTAAAATCTTAATAAATATGTTTCTTTTGGCATTATAAAATAATTTTATATATTTATTTTCATGCACTTCTCTCTTACATTAGCATGAAAAAAGGCTAAATGAGAAAGAAAAATGGACACCAACATTTTGGGTGTTTTACATTAAGAGCTATAAATAAGTTGACTCAAGTCAAGTAATAGATTGTTTATGTTAAATGTATTTAAGATTAACTTGCTTACTTTTTCAACTAATTGCAAATAAACTTTAATCGAGCTAATGACGAGCTGAGTTTGAGTAATTTAATTTTGTACATGTAAGTTTATTGAGTTGAATAATAAATTGTTCAAATTTAACTTTATTTATATTACAAATGGATCTTGAACAA